TAAATTGTTAAATCAATCTAGTTAGAAACACTTTAATATTTTTATTGGAGTTAATAATATAATAGTTTTCTGTGAAATTGTTCCTATTTCTAAATGTATATGTTATTCGTTTACATGAATTCAAAATACTGAATACCCTGAATAAATAGTTTTGTAAATCGCATGAAATTTGGCATCTAACACAAATAAATATTTGTTTTTCTACATGCAATAAATGAAGTCGAAAGAGGCTGAGAAATCTTCATGTTTAACAAGTATTACTTTATGTATTAGTAAAAACAAGACCAATATGTCTCCCGCTCTTATGAATATAAAGGGTCTCAAGATATATTAACAAGCTGATTCACAGACCAGATGAAAGGGAGATGCCGTTTTCATTATTTTGCGTATCAATTTCCATTGAAAACTGTGTCTATAGTAGGAGAAATATTCATAAATTCCTATCCCACATTTTCATTTTTTTTCATTCAGTGAACTTAAACATTCTGAACGTGGAGTTATAAAATATTTAGATAGAACTTGAATTCTTTGGATACATATTAACGTATACAGCTGTTCAGGTGATATGATTTACCAATAAATATAACATGATCATTTGTCCATTGTTTTGACTGCAGCAATATTCTACAGCATTCGGTCTACACCAAGTGGTAACCGGGGGTCAGAAGATATAAAAAAAGACCCTTGGTCAAAGCATTACTGGTCTGTAATAACGTACGTAAGTGCGTGGCCTGGCATGCGTTATCATTATTGATATCAACAACAGAAAGATTTGTTCAACTTTACAATATTTGGTTTGTTGTCGCCAAATAACCAACGATAACAGTGTATTGAACCAAATGATAACATGTTTATCTTAAGACACACAAAACGATGCTGCTGGCATCGTATAGTAACATAGCTACTGGAAAAATCATTACGTCTATTATAGTAATAAAGGGAATTACATTCGTGTGTGACTTCGCTTAGGAATATAACTGTGGCACGTGAGACATTGTATTTGTCTCGCTTTCAACCGAGTTATTGGGCAATTGGCTGCATCAGTACACTGTCACGTAAAACTAACATGAAAATAAATTAATGGCGTTTACTTCAGAAAATACTTTAAATACAAAACACATTGTTACTTTGAAATCTTTGCACTTTGCATTTGATTGTAACACTTGGTGGCGCTATAATTGTTAACTTTCTCACTTAGCGCGTGTATCAGTGAGTTGGTCTCATTACAGTTGTTTAACGCTGAATCGTTTTATGAATGTTTATTATCGTAGTAACCCTACGTGAAATTTGATATTCGGTATTTAATACGTAAGGCTGGTCAGTGGCTTGAAAGCATGTACATATATACATGATGTAAGTAAAATTTAAAAACATGGAGGGGTTAAATTCTGGCAACTCCCTTTTCAAGTGGTTGCATCGTCATAGCTTCCATGCATGCAGCTTATAAACGCCATCAGCGGCGAACATAGTCAAGTTAAACACGTACACTTAACATTGAACACCACAACCTTGGTAAAATGAATTAGAATCGCGGAGGTCGTACTAATCTTATAGATTTATTTAGTAAACAACAACCTTTTAATCACAAGTTTACTTTACATGTATTTGAATTGTTGAAATCTAATATCCCAGGACCGACTTTACCATACTCGCAGACAGTAAAACAAAGTTTAGTGCGCCACCAATCGACAGTGTGATTAGTAACCATATCAATACGGTCATACGCACAAACCCTGGCGACTGATTATCGTTATTGGTCACGCACCACAGTAGCAGTAGATGACACGCATGCATACGTATCACAATACCCAACTGTTCTTTGTCTGTTACATTGCAAATCATTCTAAAATAATCGAACTATTTAACAAATATGACGTAAAACCGCCCTTGGGTGATGATATTTATATTTTATGGCACCAGGAAACCGTTAATTCAGATCCATCCACTAAGGTATAACAAAAATCGTTTATGCAACTAAGAACACCAGCTGTTTCTTGACATATTAACATTGAATATCTATTTTTTAATTCTCGTTTATTTGTGCACCAACTATCTACATATTTGGATGTTATTTTGTGACTTAAATCAGACCACACTGACATTTCGCAGCTCACTATACTTTTCAATTTGACAATCATTTTTCCCATGGCAACCAATGATCCATACCATTCAGATTGCTATGGAAACCTATTATATACATTATGTTTCTTAAGAATAATTAGGTAAGTACTTAAACGTGATAAAATGTCATAGATCTGAAGTATAGATTACGTCCCTGGGCCATCGAATGACAGTATGACACTGCGGGGTTTTCAATACTCCAGGAACAACATTACACTGACCCGTCAACAGAGGGCGCACTTCGGACATGCATGGTGGTAAATCTCATGTTTGAAAAAAAAAACTATTTGAATCGACTTTTATTCACTCGTATTTATGCATTATTCATTCAAAATAACGATTGATGACAGTCTCATGGGACTGCATGCCCTTAACAGCAGCTTTCACTGACATTTTCGATCGACCACCGACTAAAAGATATTAATATTGATCAATGAAGTACGCATTATATCATGTTAGTGCGAATACATTATTATATGTACATGTCACCACCAACGTCTAAAGCATCAATATATATTACATCTCGGTATGCAAATGAATCACAACAATATGCTAATACGACATGAGCATGAAGTCACCAATAACGCATTTGTGTAAATCAATGTCCTCCAACGAAACACACATTTGTGAATATTTTCATTTTGTTAAATGGCATATTTCTGAAAACAAATGGTGTGCATACTAATTTATAATCGATGCAGTGAAACGTTCTTCTGCCGCGTTCTACGAGTACGTACAACCCTTGGGAAGACGACTATTCCAAGCACGTAGTCGCACTTTATTCGATACGCTATAAATATTGAATACCCAATCATATTGGGTTTAAGGCAATGTAATCACGAATAAAGCTGCATTTTTTCTATAAAGTTAGCAATCTCGCAAATGTTACGAAGTTGAAGTATACATTCCACAGAAAGATGCTTGTTCAATGATCTTACGTAAACTAGTACATCAATCAATCTCGGTTAAAGTAATGACGTATTTGTAATCTCCTGGAAGCCTTAGTTGTTTGTAGAGTCTAGTCAACATTCGGTATATCCTACTCTATCGGCCAGTAAAATAACATATCCCATCACACACTGCGAAGGCAATCAATTTATGGTTGCACCCGTAGAATATAAATGTTGGCTTCAACTGGATGGAAATGAATATAAAATGGAATAACATTGTCAATGTGTTAGGCCTCTTTTACCAAGCAACATATTATGGTCTTCATAGGGTGTCATGTATTGCTTATAGTAAATCAGTTAATAGACTTGATTGAGGTATATTTATCTGAACTATATATAGTTCAGGCTACAAGTAACAATTCAAGTGCGAGTACGTCGGGAAATGCAATATCACTGTCGTAAATTGTCGCATTACGCTGTTGTCGTACGGTAGGTTTACCACTGCGATACAATACAACGTTTGCACCACGTGTCGGTCCCATTTGGTTTGTGATTGATGGATTTACATGAATTCGCACTGTTTAGCCGCACGCAGAATTCCAACTAGTGATGCAGCTCTTCAATGAGTAGACACATGTTCAGACAACGGGCATACATTTGTGACAATAACAGGAAAATAGCTAGAAAATTAATTATTGGTCGAGAAAAAATCCTTTTGCCAGCTGCGCGCTGCTTTGTATATTCGTAGCATGAACATTGACGTATTTTACTCAGTGTGCATTCATATGGTATCACAATAGTAATTTTTGCTCAGAATTGACATAGATTAAAAGTATGACAAAAATGAAAAAAAATCTGCTCGCTCGCCTTCAATTATTTTGAATCTAAATCTAACATACATAAATATTATATTATATATATATTAATAAAATAAATCAGTTGTAGATCATAAAAAAACATGCATGATATATTTGATGCACGCTGTGCTTATTTATTCAAGTCATTGTGAACATATACTTAGTTCTATCTTTGAATCTCCTCCACGTCACGGTGCCCGAGGCGAATCTAACGTGTTCATCAATACAGGTATACCTGTTCGTATTGGTGGATGCCGACTTTTAAAGATATTAAAGAACGGGGTATGCGCGGTCTTATTGATTTAATCCCTCGGGCAATTATATTAGTGCATTATAAATATGAATACACAGCACATATAAATTATAATAAGTCCAAGCGTCCTTGTGTCCTGTGCGGTTACAAACGATAGAGGGGGCACGTCAGTGGTATTCCACGCTAGGTCGGGATTTGTGGTCACATCTGTTCCACCTAGTATCAGCCCAGTTACTCGCTTCCAAGAATACAACAACAAAATGTATTAGGACACACTGACTGGGCGAATCGAACAAATCTGATTATGAAACAATGTCTTACAGGCATCGTTAGTGAAATTGGATTTTCCATTTTAGGACGATTCTATTTCAACATCCTCCCGCCGACGCTACAAGCAGACGAGGGATAATGTGTAAACTGCGCACTTACATTATATAGATGCAGTGTGCTAGTGATACTTAAAGTATCGCCACAGACTTCACAGTACACGGAATCTCATAATATCTGTGTGTGTGCCCGCGTTCATTCCGTCATATGCCGGTGCTAACAATAGGCAGCGAATAGGGACAGCAGTGGTTCGCTCAACAGATTTGAATATATCGACAACGTAATTCAACTACCAGGTGAATGCCTCAATTTATTTTTAGTTAGTTGACACCAGTCTGAACGCGGTTCATCGGGGTCATATTTGGCTGTACATCGATTACCATATTTGAAAAGGCTTCCCGAGTCATGCTTTGCGGCATTTGCCACTCGCAACTGCGTAACATATTTGCGAGCACTGTATATTTCCATGAGTGATTGGGGATGGGTCGTCACCCTTCGTAACATCATTGATGAAGTTTTCACAGTCTTTGGGAATACACTTCTTCTACGAAAATGATGAAAGAAACAGTAATGACCTATGATCATCCTGTGGTCTCGGAAGCTGTGAAGGTAAAAGCTGAAACGCCCAAACCGAGTCAACTCCGCGCAGCTATACCCGCCATGCACATATGCGCCGCGGTAACCTGTTTAGTATTGAATATATGTATTCCGGGACTAGGTAAGACTACATTATTACTGGCTCTGTGTATGTGTTCAATATAATTAAACGTCGAATAATGGCGAAATTTAAATTCGCTTTTCTGTGTAAAAATAATCAGAAAATCAAAGCGAACAATCGATATTTACACCACTATCTTAGATTGATATGCATTCTCAACAATAATAATTTATCTGTGTAGTGTTTGGAGACGTAATTGTTGTCAGTCTCGTTATTTCTCTACTCAAAGTGTATTTACACCTTTATATATTACCTGAGTGATTGTTCTCCGCATAGTTAATAACAACGGATAGTGTATATAGTTTAAATGGTACATTCGTCTAATATCACATTGAATTCCCCTTTATTTCATTGCCTTTTTTGGTTGATTTAGTATTGAAATAATACTGGCTTATTAATTATACATGATTTATGTTCCACTAGTCCTGCCTTATCTGTTTCATTTTCTCAAGGTATCCATGGGATTGCAATTGAAAGATTCACTTCTACACGTGCAACTGTGTTATTTGGATTCATGCTGCTAAAATATGCGCGATCGTGTGTGCATGTGTTTCGTGTATTCAATTCTATTCCCTCTTCTCTAGTTAAAAGTAGATGTCTCTTGACACTGGAACGATCTATATCGCCATAATTTAAAGAATCGTTATGGACTAATTAATAGTACGTATAAGTAATTCACAACGCATGCGCATACGCGTAGCGTCGTCAAACAAATTGTTTTCGCAAACAAAAACAACATTTTTATTTTATGATGAATCCAGAGTCAATTAAAGATGCAATGTGAGCAAAAGCATGTTTTCTTTTAATAATGTTGTTCGAAACTCCATATAAAAATGTCGCGTTTGCCGGATACACAGCTGTGTTCTTTAGATGAAAGAAAATAAAATGAAACACGGTGCAATGACTGTTATTATACGAACCAAAACAACCGGGGCGCATGCGTATTAGAGAATACTCAGTTGTGTGTAGCGTTTTCCGTTCATGGTAAATTATATTGCAATGTATCTATTAATATAAACATCAAACAACAATATTAAAATTGCATATTGTGGTTCCTGTTACGTTGTTAACATGTCACAATCAATCAACCAAAACATAACAGAAATACTCAAAATCATCTACATGTTGGCATCGACAACCATGTTAGCCACTGATAACGTCCCACGAGAACGTCTCTGTAAATCTCCTCCCTGAATTGCCACAAGTCAACGTACTCAAACCACGGAGGATTTGATTTGAGGTTATTAGTTGATCTCGCGTGTCGTTTATATTGGGAAGCAATTCATGATTGCATGGGAACTAACATCTGCTGTAGTATAAATCCATTATTTTGATTTCAATTTGTCTGTCAACATTAACACTTAGCGTGTGCTTACTTCCAGCCATTTTGAAATGTTAGTTCATTTTACAATCTGACGTGTAAACAGTAAACTCCCTGTGAAACAATGCACGCGCGCAATGAATATGAAACCAACTTAATCAACCACAGTGTGCGTCCAAAGAGTTTTCCCCCATCATGTTTAAAGCGCGGCAGTCGGCGCGCTGCGCATGTGCGAGATATATGGGTCTCATATAAATAAAGATGGCGACTTTGATTGTTGCGCAGATCAACGCGTACGAACTGAGACGTTTCCAAGCTTTAATTAAGTAATTTTCATGTTGTTGGAAGGCATCGAAGGAGTCACCGGCGGTAATCAGTGCAAGTCGCGCCCAGGTCAAACCTCATACTTGTGATTCCCATTTGAAGAGCGCATTGAATTGTGGGAAAATCAATGTTTATCAACACAAATGTGGTACATGCGCAGCTCGACGACTACCGCGCTTTAAGTTTTTCGAAGTAACATTTCGTACATACTCGCATTAGACAATCGTGCGGCGATAAATTAACCTGTCATTCCATCGAAAATTACTCTAAAGATAAGATAATTGACTTAAAATTTACAATGACGCTGCAATCATTGATCGTCGTTTTTTCAATATGTATATAGAGATTCCGAATTCGCATATATTTGTATTTGACATTTGAATCACCGTGACTTAGTATATATTATCGAAAGTTCATTGTGATCTACTCGGATAATGAGCAGGCATTATTGTGTCTAAAGCGTTTAAGTATCGCCGATAAAATTAAAACCAACGATATTACTTCGTAATTGCATTCAAAATCGGTGATAGGAACATTACAGATGTATCTAATGTGGAGTCATGTCTATATTGGACGGCACTCATTCAAAGTGTTAATACACGACTCTGGAGAAATAGTAAGTTAATTATACAAACAACGATTAATGGAAAGAAATCACATTTAGTCGACTAGAGTTTTTTTGAATTAAGTTTGTGAGTGGCCAATCTGTATTCCGGGTCCGATCGGAGTAGCGTGGGAGATTGCGACGCACTGCCAGGATATTTATAAACCTAATCCACGATAAGCCACGGAAGATCCATTTTCCCTGTGTTCATCGACAAACTGATTACTTTAATTCCTAGCAAATCAAATAACCTCGTATATTTTTTTCTCAGGTACTGCTGTTGCTGGATTTTCAGTATTTTGTTGTGCCAATCCAGGTCAATCCAGTAACGGGAAGGCAGGCACATGTTGTATTAATTTCTGGGTTGGCGTTGTCCAGTTAGCTACCTGCTGGATTTTTTTCATTGGTTGGATATGGAGCGTGCTTTGGGGAATTGCCTTCGTTGCCATGTCAAGTAAGTATACACACTCTTTAACACTCTCGGTACCCGGGTGAGAACTACAGGCTACGTGAGATAATGGAATGCCAACACGTTTTAGTTCAAGTGACCGTACAGATTGGTGTGTGAGTGCGGTTACGTATGTCGTTCCTTTGACGCGTAAGTGGACTAAATGAAAGGATGTGGCGAATCGGAAAAATCCGTTGCACGCTTAACATAGCGGAAACTCACTGCACAGGATGGTTGTCATAACAAGAAGGGGAATCACGTACTAACGCGCGGGAATTGAGTCCTAGGCGACGATAACAACACACGCTAAAAACACAAAGGCTCATGGGTAGACGCTTGCTTGTAAACAATGACACCCTATGGCCATCTGACGCATGCGCAGGTGACGACTCCCCCGCTTTAACGTTGACGTGGTTCAGCCACATACGATAATGTATTGATTATGATTATGTCAACATATTTACATATTAAGTACGTTTGCCAGTTCTTGTCCAAATAATATTTCGAGTTCAGTAACAGGATTGGATACTGGAGTAAGGAAATCCACAGTGAATATTTTATAAAAACACTTAGCAATCCACAGTGAATATTTTATAAAAACACTTAGCTTTGAATTAAGTGAAAGAAATTGGTACTTAGTTGTAATACTGTTATTGGGCATTAGATACGTCATATTTAATCTCGGGGGACCGATCACCTTACACAATTACCATGTTTAGAATAACGAGGTTGTGTTCAATAATTGACAGCTGCTGGTCGCCAGTTACTCATGTAAGATTACACTTTAGATAAAAATTGGCAGGTGCCAGTTTTGTATGGATGTATTGAGATTAATGAGGGTACATACTTCTCTAAGTACATAGACATGTTTAAGAAACGGCACGGCGCAAAATAACAGGTTATTAAATACATTTTTTGAAAAATATGTGTTGTAGTCTTCGAACAGCGCGCTTTCGATTTCATGTAAACAAACAATGTACTTTACACGCGTTGTATACTATAAGATCCACATCGAACACGACAAGGGCGATGACCCTGGTGTTTTAATGTTCGACGCTAAACACACACTTTCTGTCCCTGAATGTGCTGATCCGGGGTAAAATATAGATAAACAACCCATTTGGATAAAATTTGTATGTATATTTAGTAACGACAAGGCATAAAAATGCATTAGTATGGATGATAGTTGCCCGGAACTCAGTATTGTGGAAGCTCGTCAAGTCAAGTACATGGCTGGTAAAGATGATGTTTTCCGCGTTGCTTGCCCGGGAGCTTTATTCCATATAAGGACATCCTTACGGCATATACACGTCGCGATATCATCGTTGATGAAATGTGCTATGAATATACGGAGCAGAAGAAACAGTATTAGTTAAATCCTCTGTGAATACGAACTGATTGGATCAGGCTGAATCAGTAGAATCCAAATAGAATAATCAAAATTATGAAATTGGAAGCGATGCATGGTGGACAATAAGGTGAATAAAAACCTCATGAAAAGCTATTACTGATACACAGTACTGTCTGGGAGAAAATACAAAAAGTGTAAAAAAATGTATGATATACAGATATTGGGTTACCACGAATACATGATACGTCGGTCAGTCATGTGCACGGTTTTATTAAACTAAATGTAAAATTCATTGTGAGGCGTTGAGTTATTTTAATGCATATTTGTTCTTTTAATCTACAGGTGAATACAATCCAGACAATAGAGCTATTATTACGTTGTCATCCGTATCTCAACCGTCATCCGGGTATGCTACGCCGACGTCTAGCGAAGAGGTGCAGCTATACCAAGCTGGACTTAAAACATATACTTAAAGGGCGGTAGTCGTCGCGCCACGCATGCGCGAGATATATGGGTTTCATATAAACAAAGATGGCGACTTTGACTGTTGCGCAGATCAATGAGTACAAACTGAGACGTTACGAAGCTTTAATTTAGTTTTTTTTCTAGGTGGTTGTAAAGTATCGAATGAGTCACCGGCGGTAAGTCGCGCCAAGGAAAAACCTCATACTTGTGATTTCCATTAGTAGAGCACATTGGATTGTGGGAAAATCACTGTTTATCAACAAAAATGTCGCACATGCGCAGCGCGACGACTGCCGCGCTTTAACTCTGACCGACATGGACACATAACGCAGTTTTGTTGTTGGCTTTTTAAAGTGAATATGTACTAACATTGCGGGTATGATATAGTTGGGTGTCCGCCTGCATCCTCTAACCCACCGGAATTAAGAACATGCAGTGATGTCATGGTATCGACACTGCGTTTCGTTATAGAAAGATGCATGGGCTACAAAGGTGTTTATGCTACGTGAATCGCATAAGTGGACTTTATTTAACTGCTTCTGTTGTGGACTTTACTCTTGCCTGATTGCAGGCAGTTTATTTCTATGGTGATGCCTTTGAAGACACGTCACCATGGTAACCATCGTCCTTTCGTTGTTGATAAAATCGCTGCGTTCGTTGATTACAATACTTAACCATCCTTATAGGAACGCCTTCAAGTTGCGAGCATCAATTTTTCATCGTGTTGTCGTGTTCTTATAATTTCGTTTAAATAAACGAGTTTTGTATCATTTGTTGTACAACCAATCTATCGTTCATCGAGTAATTTATGTATTTACTTATTCATTTTATTATTGATTCATTGAGTGGGTGATTTATTTGTTTAATTTATTTATTATTCAAGTCATTCATTGCTAGGTTATACGGTACGTCGAGATGTTATAGTGCCACTCAAAAAAAAGAAAAAAATGCCAATTGGCTGCCATCTTCAAAGCAGACGTAAAAAATACTTATTTTAGTTAAATGATGAGATACATATTTTTTAGGATGTGATTCAGAAACTAGATATGGCAGCTTATCAAAAAATGTGGGTAATTTTTGTGATTCATAATGTGGGCTATTTTTTGTCACAAATCGTAAAAATAAATTAGCCTGGGCACGTTTATTCCGGTCCATTTTGAGTAAACTGGTGTCATTAAAGACACATTTTTCAAGAAAAATTCAATAAAAAGAGGTACGTATGTTTTACGGCATTCTAAGATTGGAAAAAAATGGAAAAAACAATCTACCAAGGGAAGTTGAAACTATTTCAAATTGACTTTTTTGCGTATGAGATATTTGTTAATTTGCATAATCATCCTTATATGTACCAGAAATGTCAGATAATTTTTCAAATGTCCATGGACAGGGTTTGTCTCAGCATTTTCCCATAGCGATTCCCGACTAGGAAAATGAACTGGATCTTGCAATATATTCTGTGTACAAATGGGACACCTTTTTATATTTAAGTGGGGTCTCTCTCATATCGAGGGTTCGGGAAGTAGAATATGAGGTTAATGCAATTCTTAGCCCTGAAATCTACTGAATTGTCTTGTCAAAAGTTAATGTATAGTAAATTGTGAGGATTCAGACATTATTCATCTAGATAAACACGTGACAGTTTTATAAAATCCACGTGGCAAATGTGCTTAATAATATTGAAGTTGAAACTTTCACAGCATATTAGCATTGATGTGTACTCTTCAAAAAAGTTAAAAAAAGGAGTTTCAATTAAAAGTGCCTGAAAGGCGAAGCTTATTCTTAAACATTTGCGTTCTCGTATTTGATTGGCTTATTTCTCATTAGCTTAATACCGACTGTACTTATAATGTATATTGTTAGTTACGAATGAGGTCACGGCGCATTACGTCATGTTATTAATCAGTTGAGAGGAGACGCACACGAGGTATTAAAACGAACGATAAAGCAACCGATTACGATTGTAGTAATCCTGCATTGAAATTCGATTACACGAACCACCTGCTAAATTCATTTCAATATGGTAGCTTATAATGACTGATGGTAGATGGACAAATGGAAGTTATTGTCGACGCAAGATGGGCACATTCTTTTTTTTTGAATTTTCTACACACAAATAATTTCTTACTAACAAAGACAAATGTCAACGTCGTCAGCGTGGAAATATATTATACTCCCGGATTTACAAATACATGTACGAACAGAGATAAATGGATACTTACTGCAATGTAATCGTACTCAGACCATACCATAATTCTTAGGAACAAACTTGAAGGATGACAGTGTTATAAAACAAGGCAATGACGGGGTGTGTACACTAACGATCGAGACACAGCCGATCCCATTATCTAAGCGAACATTGCCGTACGAGTTAACACGTAGTAAAAGTTTCGACACAGAGTCCTTTATTTAAATTAAATACACCAAATACACCGAAATGTCAAAAAAAAATAATAATATACGTGCAGTGTATTGGTACGCTTGAAATAAATCGGCCATGTGGTTACTGAGAAAAAGTCGATAACACTCACAAGCAAAGAGCTCGCAAAAACACACACATATGTAATTTTGCAAAAAAAATAAATATTCAAAATTTCCTAACGGAACTGAATCATAGTGGATTCTTACAAATTTTGACAAACATTCGATATTGTTGATTCACGCACAATCTGTTTTGCTTTGACTCTAAGCGCTGTCAAGTTTTCAGCACGTGGTACCACGAGAACACGCAGTTACAACTAATATAATATAATAGGTATAATATATTTTACTGTTATTATCGTGGTTTGTTTTACATTTTTTGTAGTGAGTATATTAATAATTATTTCAATTTCCGCTAAAATTCCCTATTCCGGTAAACCATGATTTTTATTCAACATTGAGATAGATTCGCCTCGAAGGATTCTACTGGAATCGTAAAATGTCACGCCCAGGTGTCGAAGTCACGGTGCAGCAGGGTAGTAAAAGTTTAATAAACCTCAGTTTCATTATTAACTTAAATCTTGTTTTAGCTGAAGGAAATGCCATGCAGTGGATTACACCTCGTGCTACCTACTTACATACTGTAAAAAAACCATAATGCTCACCATTATTTGTTCAATACAGTATGAACCACAATGTCGCACGTTATTACATTTGTATTAATTTTGTCGTGCACACTCTCCATAACATTTTTCAACACTGAATTATTTTTCAAAATGGCCGTCATTTCGTTCGGGATACAATTGGAAATGCTCATAGAACGATTTAGAAAGCCATTACCGTTTTGAAAATAGTGTAAATAAATGACAACTACACTAAAATAGTTTTATTTCACGAGTTTACGAAAATTCCGAATATAATAAAATTATTGATTGTGGTTTCATTTTGGAGCGAAAAATCGTTCATAGTCTCTGAACAGAACCATAACGTATGGCGGGAATAATTTTCATATTGTACAATTCATGGGTGAATAACCAAATTTGAATAATCACCACATTTAAGATCAATCCAGTGATGCGTACAACCTTGGACGCATTCACTGAAAAAACTTCGCATTCGGTCAAATTTCCCGTTTGATGAGTCATGATTGATCAAATTACATGTTGAGAAAAATATTACCCTGATAAGTCAGTGCACAGCCGGATAATATAGTGCGACTATTTAGAGTGTAACGAGAACATGGAATTACTTGTATGAGATCATAAATAGTTGATACATCACTGCAGACACCTCGCGGTGAGCTTCTTTCGCGATCTGTGATTTTCGCAAAGAAATATGTGTTTACAATTGTATAGACTTTTTTTTTATAATTAGCTTGATGGATGACCGTGACGGCAGTGTTCTAACATCACTCGGGGTGAATTTGTAGACTATGCATGGTGAGAAATGATGATAGTAGTGAGAAAATGTATTGTATAACTTGTACAAAAGAAGACATTATTTCTCTTTGCCATAATAATATAGAAGCACGGCCTCCAGCTGTATCTTCGTTGTCGGGAATCGTAGTGAATCAGATTTTATGTTCATAACTGACAATTTTTCAAGCAAGGTTCGCTGTTTAAGGATTCATGGACAGCCAGTTTGTGAATTTTTATGCTGCATAAATTAAAAATAAAATAATTCTATTTCTGGGAATTCGTCAAATTCGATTTCAGAATGAAATGTAATTATACTGCGGTTTTTAAACAGTTACCTTTAAATGCATGAATTTATCGGGCAATTGAACATTTTCAACGTGTTACTGGCATATTTAAAGTGCCGAAAACGTGGCAAATCTGTTATTTCGCTCAAAGATGTTTTTATGGAGTATAGAAATTAAGTTTTAAATATATTTAAAACGTAAATACTGTATTAACATATGCTTATGTTCGGTAAAAGAATATAACAATACTCATGGGGATTGTTAGTTACAACATTTGATGGTACAGTGGCTCGAAGGTAAGATTCTATCTCGATCTACTTGGCAGCGTTTTGACAGCGAATCTGACACACCAGGAGTGTAATTTATTGAAATCGTTACATTTTGGCGCGTGATGAATCTCACTTGCATGATTTACAGTACATGATCATTTCTGGTACATTTGTAACCCCTCCCCTCCCGCATCACCGCCCCAACGCCCACCCACAGTGATTACATTATTTGTTAGAATATCCACATATATGTCTGTATTGTATCCAGTAACACATGATTGTTAATTAGCAAATTAATGACATTGTTTTAATACACATAACCCGCGAATATTCGTCATTATATTCATTGTATAATTACCTGTTAATACACAACTAAATTATACATCAATGATCAACATTGAATATTATTCATAAATGCTTATTTTGTTTTTTAGATATTTCTGAAAAGCCTGATATAATCATCACCACACATCACTTATCCTTTCGAAAAAAAAAATACGCACAGAGTAATCATGTAAGATGAATGTACTGAATATTCCTTTCCCAAGCTAAGCCAGAAAACACAGCAGATGCGATAGGTTGGGATCCTTCTCTGCAATCCCACAACAGCTTTTCTTGA